CCTTTTCTAGCAAACCCACCACCTACACCAGATGCCGCAACTGGGCTTTCACCGTAAATGCCAGACCTGATTCATTTCTCTATCGTATGAAGGCATTTTGGCCAGGATCGGAGTGACAAGTTCTGGACAAGCAGAATAGATACTCGTCAGGACAATACATATATCTTTATTATAATTACTATTTAATAATCAATACAAAGCCAAGTAGTCAATGCTTCATTTAGGTGCATACAAGCTGATGTATTGTTTCCTGGCACCAGCAAACGGCCTTGAGATACGGAGTATGATACGAATATGTTACCTGACGCGGTGCTCGTCCTGTGGCCTGTTGTAAGGCGTCCAAACTGGTTTTCCCACAAAGAAACGCATAGCCTGAAGCATCAGGAGATAAATTCGTGTGTGATCTCAATACCACCTTGACGTAATTGTTGTTATCCAGAGTGAAGCGAGGGTAGCTTCCAGCAGGAAGTACGATCATGTCTCCCTTCTTCGCCCAAGTCTCTCACATCGAAGTAGCCTGCGTTTGTCAAACGATACTTACATCAAGCTGTTCTTCTCAATTACTACTATCGCTTTTGGTCTAAATTGGAAGCCGAGTTTGCTAGTTACCGCTTCCATCGAGGCAGTAGCGGATCTCCTCGTCCAGATGGATGTGCTCCTCGAAGAAGCTCTGATCTTGTGCTCGCAGTTTGGCAGCTTCTCCGGACTCACGGTGATGATATCCTGTGTGAAACAAAGAAATCAACATAAGCTTTTTTTGCAAATTACTGTAGCTTTGCTCGTCTCTTCCGATCCAAGAGCTACCTGGAGTATCCTCGCTTCTTTCGTATCTCCTGTAGCTTTGAGTCGGTCTCGTACTGATCTGCGTCAAGATCGCAGTGCAAAACACCCAGGGCACCAAAGCGTTTCCAAGGTGAGAAGCAGCAGAACAAAGAAATCTCACAGAAAACCTGCGAGCTTAAACGAGCTGACTGGGCCGGTCTCTGCTCGCCCTAGCGCCTTGCTCAGCTCGCTAGTGCCGTTATCTGTAGCAAATCAATGTCGTCAATCTTATTTGCTAGAGCGATAGTTTGCACAGAAGTGCTGTATTGGCGGGCTATGGAAGTTAAACGTTTCACCCCTGAAGAAACAATGTTAGCACAAGAGAAGAAAAGGAAAAAATCCCATACTCTTGAGAACGAGACAGGATGAGTGACGCTCCGATCCGTTGCTTCTCCGGCCTATTTGCAGAGAAAACACTCCATCACTAGCTATCTTGCTAGAAATTCCGCTCATACCTTGTCCGCCATGGCCGAAATCTTCCCTGCATTCTCCCGACGCCTCCCGATCGGCACGGATTTGGCCAGGGAAGGGAGCCTAGAGATCCCGCGGTCGATCGCAGTGCTAGCGCCCGCCAAGCCAGCGGCAAGATGAGCAACCCTAGCCTGCATAGCGCGAGAACGAGCTAGGGCTTTGAGCAAAAGAATCTCAAACGGCTAAGTTTTGACCAAAGTTGACTGTTTATCTTAATTAATAGAACTTTGGTAGTCTTGTGAATGTTCCACCCCCTTTCATGAACATAGAGCCAGCCTTACAAACCTTTGAATGAGAATGTTTGTTCCAAAGTGTTCCATGTTTATAAGACTGGTGGATCCGACCTGGACGCTAGTTCGTTCCACAAATTTCTTTTCAAGCTTTTGTGCCTTCCACGAGAATTTCGTTCCACGCTATTGACGCCCGCTATTTGGTCTGAGAAAGAAAGACCCGAAAGTAAAGCAAATCTGGTTTAGTTTTATGCCCTGCTTGAAAATTTTCATGACTTGGGCGTGACTTGAATAGTGGCCAGGTCTGCAAGGGAAGGATGCAGTGATGGTTTCTCAAGAAGCCAAATTTCTTCCTATTCATAACATGCCCCGTGTTGACGAAGTGAAAATTTTGATGCTGATAGCAAAGAAAATGCACTGTTTAACTCAAAAGGTACTGTTTTCGAGTTTTTCTCAACCATAACTAACTCTGAAATAGTATAGCGCTACCAAGTAAACGAATACTCTTCCAATACTGAATCCAGCTCAGATGTTTAAAACACTGGTCAAAAAGAAGATAATTCATACTTATCTGTACACACGTCTTTGACCAGTGTTGGTTTGCTGGTCTTTGAGGCAGCCTGTAACAACACAAAAGACCATGAAATTCCGCGTTATGGATACAGCATGAGCGTCCGACACGTAATGGCACTTGAAACTTGTCGATTTATGGCACGGTCCGAGTCCTGAGCTAGTCGCTTAAGCCCCTCGATTGATTTAACAGGATCAGTAAAAAAAAAATGTGATGACTATATAAGCAATCCAGCTGCGTACTCTGATCCTCCAGTCCAGTCTTCTCATTCGAAAGCCTGTAAGCACAGTAAGGTGTGAGAGGAATGTCTCAAACACAAGCTGAGTGTACCATCAAAGTCGGATACGATGCTGTTGTTGTTGGATCGGGCTACGGAGGATCAATTGCTGCCTATCGACTCGCAAAAGCGGGACTCCGTGTGTGTGTTCTAGAAAAGGGAAGACGATGGGATCCTCACGAGTTTCCAGCAACGCCATGGCAGCTGATTTCCAATATGCGATTTTTCACTCCGTTTGGAAGAATAGGAAGGAGGAATGCTCTTTATGAGGTAAGTCTGTACCGCATTGTGTTCAAACACATGACACAGTTGGTCCATTTTTGAAGGTGCACAGCAACGGAGACTCGATCGCACTAGTTGGCTCAGGACTGGGAGGAGGCTCACTAGTGAATGCTGGCATTATAATGCCCACACCGAAAAGAGCACGAAAGCATCCAAAATGGCCAAGCGAGTGGGAGGAAGACTGGGAGAAATACGAAGCACAATCCCACAGCATTCTGGAGCCGGAATATACTCAGAATGAGCCACCAAAGTCCAAAGTGCTAGACCAAATTGCAAACGAGATAGAGGACGCAGCAAGAGATTCCATGAAGTTGACAATAAGTTTCAATCAGAAGAAGAATGCTGCTGGAGTTACACAAAAGGAATGTATTTCATGCGGTAACTGTCTATCAGGATGCAGGTACAATGCAAAGAGCTCAACAGACAAAAATTACCTCGAACTAGCCGCACAGGTACTTTTCCAGCCAAAACTGAAGGCACATCTTCTTACGGAAATCGTATGTGCAGGCCGGAGCCAGAATTTGCACGCAGACGGAAGTGATGTTCATCTTGGATACCTCTAGCCACGGAGAAGAATTTAATTGTCAACCCTGCAATCACGAAGCAAATTGCAAATCAGTAGCTACTAGAAGGTGGCGTGTGTACCTGAATGAAGTCAATTATATTTCAGCAGACTACGTCATTCTAGCTGGTACCACCCTGTAAACGCTTTGACCTTTTATCGCTAACATCCCTTTTCTACTTCAGCTGGTGTTCTTGGCACGAACGAGATCCTCCTGAGATCAAAAGAGCGAGGCCTACAACTGTCCGAACAGTTGGGGCACGGAGTTAGCTCCAATGGAAATAATATCGCTTACATAACAGGCACAGCTGCACAAACTCAAGCTCGAGGACTAAGAGAAAATGAGTTCTCAAGGACTCCCATGCAGCTACGTCCTGGACCAGTCATATCAAGTTCACACACATCATCACTTGGTTTCACCATACAGGTAATATTACCTTGAAAACACTTAAGTTAAACACTCTTACAGGGATCCTCTATTCCTCGAGCAACTCCCGAGACTTTACTGAGGGGAGTGATTACTTATGGCCAGCATGACTACGGATTCCTTGTTGGTATATGGGAACGCATCAAGCATTGGACAGGAATGAAAAACAGCCAAGCTCTAGTATTGAATATGATGGGATATGACGCTGCTGACGGGCAAATCAAGCTAGACAAGGCAACAGGAAGACTGGAATACAGTGCAGCGAAGGACTTACTTTTTCACCAGAAGCTTCGGACCGCTGAAAGATTGGCAGCCCGCCTTCGTGGGAAGCTATACATGAGTCGCTTCAGAAGTGTTACAGTTCATCTTTTGGGAGGTTGCAACGCAGCACCAGACTCATCCACTGGCGTGACAAACGCAAGCGGCCAGGTTTTCTTCCCTAAGAAGAACAAATATCAGTTGAATCAGCCAACGAAAGTTCATTCTGGCCTCTACGTGTGCGATGCCTCTTTGATTCCATGCTCCGTTGGATTGAATCCGGTCAGCACCATCTCTATAGTTGCAGAGAGAGTTGCGAATGGAATTGTCAACGACGCACACAACTACCTGTCAAAAAATATTCAGCACGAGGTATTGACTGGCGATCTCAGTGATTTCAAGTCAAGGACATACCTCAACTCGCGGCTTTCTTGCGAAATGGAGAGCAGCCACGTCATTATCCACGAAAAACTGGCAGGAAATATTGGAGGAGCTCCTTGCACGCTGCGATTGGTGATGCATATGGGACAAGACAAGGATAGGGCTGCAAGTAATCTCACATTTGGAGATAGTCACCCTCTGCTGCGTGGATATGTTGGAGGCGATGTTCTTATTCCTTCGCTGGAACCAAGTCCACTTTATGTGGTTGACGGATACGTAGATATGTGCCATGTCGATGAAAGAACTCCTTTCACTCAATATATGCACTATCACCTGGTTCTGTCAACAAACACAGGCACCAGGTAAGTTATCCTATCTTCTGTCAATCTGATCTCATTGAAAACTATGGTTTCTGAAGGTATACTTTGGACGGAAGGAAAGAGATGCGACCATTCATGAGCGGCCTAATGTGTTACTCTGATGCAACCACACTACATATCGTTGTTCGAGCTCAGCAGGACTCACCAAAACCGGTTGCCTTGAAAGGAAAAGTGCGGGTAACTCTTCCCGAGTTACTTAAGTCCCTAATATTGTTACGAGGGCCAAGGAAGCGGGAGTTTGTAGGAAGACTCCTGGAAACACTTGCTAGGACGTACTTGATGAGAACACCGAGAGCGACAAGCCGGGAAATGGCAAAACCAGAAGACTCGACCGAAAACTATCCAAGCTATGTACTTCATGAGATTGCCACAGGTAAAAACAGACTTGACTCTTTTATACAGGCAGTGACAGATTGCTTGTGCAGGAGATGGTGCCCGCATTACCTGCAAGCAATGGTGCTCGAAGGGTGCTGCTCAGGATGAGAACGTCAAAATTGTTTTGCTTCTCAATGGTTATGCCACAGAGAGTTTCTGTGTCCCTACGGAAAACCACGACATCGTAAGAACACTTCTAGAGAACGACTATGAACCTTGGCTCTTGCAAACACGTTTCCATCCGTCGCATCCGACTCCAACTTCTTTCACTTTCGATGACGTCGCTCGGTTCGACATTCCAGCCGGTATGTGCACTCTGTCAAAAACCGAAAAAGTTTAATGCTGGAAATTTTTACAGCATTTGCAAAGATGAGCCACGTCAAGAGAAAGTCGGTAACAGCACACGTTATTGCTCATTGCATAGGAGGAGTCTCAATTCACATGAGCTTGATGGGTGGATACATACCTCCATCGTCGATAGCATCACTGATTTGCACAAACTCGTCCATGTTCTTCAACTTCGTTCCATCAGCGCTCGTCAAGTTGACTCTGCCTCTCATTCCTGTAAGTAGTTTTTGCGTTAGCCATAAAAAAAAGGAGACTTACGTCTTGTTGTTTATCTACTACAGATTTCTATGACAATCCTGGGAAAGAAGCTCGTCATACCAATAAGTCCTCCGCAAGAAGAACCGATGTCGTGGCGACACAAGCTACTCCGCGCAATTGCTCGAGCGATACCACGCACGGAGCGCTGCCACTGTGACGAATGCAACGTTTTCTCAGGAATTTTCGGCAACACATTCTGGCACGAGAAAGTCAGACTGGAAACGCACAACTGGTTGACCAAGCAGGCAGTGCAAACTCTATCAATGGCAGCATTGCCACACGCACGTAAAATCGTTCTCGCGGGACACGTAGTAGACAACGAGGGGAAAAACGAGACTTACATGGCTCATCCGGAGAGGCTAGCAGTCCACACCACGTATATCTCCGGCGGCCGCCCCATTCTCGTCACTCCAGAGACCTCTCTCCGCGCGCACGGATTCATGAAGCGGCATCACCCTGGATTCAGCCACGCTCGAATCGTGATTCAAGACTACGGACACTCCGACCTGTGGATCGGAGAGCATTCGCACGGGGACGTGTTCCCGCTGGTGCTGGAGCGCCTCAAATCCGCCGGGAGAAGCCATCCGAGCGATAACCTCCAGAAGAATGCGATACTGCCGTGGGAGGAGTCGCTGATCGCTGGTAGGAATGGCGCGTGCGGCGGCGTTGTCTTCATCCTGATGGCGCTGCTCGCGATCGCCTTGCTCTGCTTGGTAAACCATTGAATCTGCCAGTACAATGGTGATCACAACTTGTGATTTGATGCAAACAAATCAGGGAGAATGCACTGCTCCCGTGACAGCAAGCCCCATCATCTGAAACTATTACATTGTTAGCTAAGAAAGAGCATCCTTTAAACCCTTTTGTGTGCTTCCAATTCCATGCTATTTGGGAACTTATGACCACTATATGGCTGCATCAAGTGGTGGTGCTTGTCAAACCAATCCAATGTTTCCATACCTCAATTAGAACAAGAGAGAGCATGTTAGACTTATCATTAGCTGCACTTGCCAGTTAGTGCTGGAGTTTGTCGCCACTGGAGTATAGTGAGTTTTTCTAGCTCATTTTTTTGACTCGGATGATAGCAATCCATGTTGACTAGTAGTTTACCAATTAAGAATTTTTATTTTACTATTGTTGTTGAGGAGTTTTTTTTTTTCCTTCATGAATGAACAGTCTTAAAAGTCCACTTATCTTCCCATAGTTTAGTATCAACAAGGTTTAACCAATCTCTTAAATTTTTGCCAAAGTATTTTATAAGCCTTAGGATTTTTGTATTTTTTTATAACAAAAAGCTTGAGCAATTTTTTTTCTTATTTCCTTTTAACAATTGCTAAATTTTTTTTTTCTCTTCCACTTTATTTCTTCTTTAATTTTTTCACTTTCTCCTCAAATTTAATTTTTTTTCTTTAAAGGAGTGGGTATGCATAGAAGTCCGATCCTAACAAATTCAACAAATTCAAAGTCAAAATTTGTATGCGTGTTGTGCTGACGGATGGTACCTTGATAGGCAGTTTTCCATTCTAGTTCTTTGTCCCTAGAACATCTCGACGAGGGTGAATTTCTGTAAGAAAGAGGGGAGAACAAAAGTGAGACGACTTTTATGTCTCAAACGCAAGTGGAACGTACCATCCAAGTCGGGTACGACGCGGTTGTTGTTGGATCTGGCTATGGAGGATCGATTGCTGCATATCGACTCGCAGAAGCAGGAATCCGTGTGTGCGTTCTCGAGAAAGGAAGACGATGGGAGCCTCACCAGTTTCCAGCAACGCCCTGGAAATTGCTTTCCAGCACGCGTTTTCTTACTCCATTCGGAAGCATTGGGAAGAAGGATGCTCTCTATGAGGTGAGTTACTGAATAGCATTGTACTTCTCCTGTTAAAACATATATACACACAGTTAGTCCATGTTTACAGGTGCACAGCCATGGAGACTCTGTCGCTCTAGTTGGGTCAGGACTGGGAGGAGGCTCGCTAGTGAATGCTGGAATCATCATGCCCACACCGAAAAGAGCACGAAGGCATCCAAACTGGCCAAAAGAGTGGGAGGAAGACTGGGATCTATACGAAGCAAAATCTCACAGCATTCTGGAGCCTGAAGAAATCCTGCACGAGGCTCCAAAATCAAAAGTGCTAGACAAAATTGCAAACGAGATAGAGGACGCAGCAAGAGATTCGATGAAGTTGACAATAAGTTTCAATCAGAAGAAGAATGCTGCTGGAGTTACACAAAACGAATGCATTTCATGCGGTAACTGTCTATCAGGATGCAGGTACAACGCAAAGAGCTCAACAGACAAAAATTACCTTGAACTAGCCGCACAGGTACTTGTCCAGCCAAAACTGAAGGCACATCTTCTTACGGAAACCGAATGTGCAGGCCGGAGCCAGAATTTGCACGCAGACGGAAGTGATGTTCATCAGCGAGAACTCCAGCCATGAAAAGGAAACTTGTTGTCAACCCTGCAATCATGGAGCAAATTGCAAATCAGTAGCTAAAAGAAGATGGCGCGTGCACCTGAATGAAGCGGATTATATTTCAGCAGACTACGTCATTGTAGCCGGTACTATCGTGTAAAAGCTGGAAACCTTGGTCGCTGATATTTGCTGACCTTTCTTTCTTCAGCTGGTGTTCTTGGCACGAACGAGATCCTCCTGAGATCAAGAGAGCGAGGCCTACAACTGTCCCAACAGTTGGGGCACGGAGTTAGCTCCAATGGAAATAATATCGCTTACATAACAGGCACAGCTGCACAAACTCAAGCTCGAGGACTAAGAGAAAATGAGTTCTCAAGGACTCCCATGCAGCTACGTCCTGGACCAGTCATATCAAGGTCACACACATCATCACTTGGTTTTACCATACAGGTAATATTACCTTGAAAACACTTAAGTTAAACACTCTTACAGGGATCCTCTATTCCTCGAGCAACTCCCGAGACTTTACTGAGGGGAGTGTTTACTTATGGCCAGCATGACTACGGATTCCTTGTTGGTATATGGGAACACATCAAGCAATGGACAGGAATGCAAAACAGCCAAGCTCTAGTCCTGAATATGATGGGATATGACGCTGCTGACGGGCAAATCAAGCTAGACAAGGTAACAGGAAGACTGGAATACAATGCAGCGAAGGACTTACTTTTTCACCATAAGCTTCGAACCGCTGAAAGGTTGGCAGCCCGCCTTCGTGGGAAGCTATACATGAGTCGCTTCAGAAGTGTTACAGTTCATCTTTTGGGAGGTTGCAACGCAGCACCAGACTCATCCACAGGCGTGACAAACGCTAGCGGTCAGCTGTTCTTCCCTGATACAAGCAACGTTCAGTTCACGAAGACAACAAAAGTTCACGCAGGCCTGTACATTTGCGATGCCTCTTTGATTCCATGCTCTGTTGGATTGAATCCTGTCAGCACGATCTCTATAGTTGCAGAGAGAGTTGCGAATGGAATTGTCAACGACGCACACAACTATCTGTTAAAAAAGTTCCAGCACGAAGGCGATCATAGTAATTTCAAAACAAGAACGTACCTCAACTCGCGGCTTGCTTGCGAAATGAAGAGCAGCCGCGTCATTATCCACGAGAAAATGAGAGGAAATATTGGAGGAGCTCCTTGCACACTGCGATTAGTGATGCATATGGGACAAAACAAGGATACGGCTGCAAGTAATTGCGCGTTTGGAGATTGTCATCCTCTACTGCGTGGATATGTTGGAGGCGATGCTCTTATTCCTTCTCTGGAACCAGGTCCTTTATATGTGATTGATGGATACGTGGATATGTGCCATGTCGATGAAAGAACTCCTTTCACTCAGTATATGCACTATCACCTGCTTTTGTCAACAAACACGGGAACCAGGTAAGTTATCCTATCTTCTGTCAATCTGATCTCATTGAAAACTATGGTTTCTGAAGGTATACTTTGGACGGAAGGAAAGAGATGCGACCATTCATGAGCGGCCTGATGTGTTACTCTGATGCAACCACGCTACATATCGTTGTTCGAGCTCAGCAGGACTCACCAAAACCGATTGCCTTGAAAGGAAAAGTGCGGGTAACTCTTCCCGAGTTACTCAAGTCCCTAATATTCTTACGAGGGCCAAGGAAGCGGGAGTTCATAAGACGGCTCCTGGAGACACTTGCTAGGACGTACTTGATGAGAATACCTAGGACTCGAAGAGAAAAGGTGACCAGGACACAACACTTGACAGACAACTATCCAAACTACGTTCTTCATGAACTCGTGACAGGTATTAAAAAGAATTTTTAACAGGCAGTCATTCTGACGCTGGTCTAGGGGATGGTGTGCACATTACCTGCAAGCAATGGTGCTCACAAGATTCTGCGGACAACCAAAACTCTAGAGTAGTTTTGTTGCTCAATGGTTATTCCACAGAGAGCTTCTGGCTTCCTACAGAAAGTAATGACATCATACGAACGCTGATACAGAATGATTACGAACCTTGGCTGCTGCAAACACGCTTGCATCCATTGCATCCAAC